GTGGGGCTGCGTCTGAGGGGAGCGAGCCTGAGAGGGGATTGTCCTTCTGAGGGGAGGGACTCTATGTGGGGACCGACCCTGTGTGGAGATTGTCCTTCTAAAGGCGCCGACCCTGTGAGGGGACCGACCCTGTGAGGGGATTGTCCTTCTGAGGGGACCGACCCTGTGTGGGGATTGTCCTTCTGAGGGGACCGACCGTGTGAGGGGATTGCCCCTGCAAGGGGAGGTTTTTCCCCTAAAGTCACCTTGATTGCGAACTGCAGTTAGATTGGCAGGACCAGCCGCCGACAGGGATTTGGTGGTGTTGTGTTTCATTAATGCTTGGTTTTAAAATTATCATTCGTGTGTATCTACAGGGGCTCTGCGTGCTGAAACAGCTCCTTTTGGGGGTTTGGTTGGTTGGCCAGTTTTGGTTTCGTTGCGGGTTGGTGTTAAAATTCTAATGGAGGTGGGCTGAAAACACATTAGTTAGCTGGAAGAAACAGAGCGGTGTCTGCGAGACGAAGTCGGAACCCCTTATTATAAAATCAATGTTTCGAGCACCTAAAGCTCTCGGTATCGTCGCTGCTCACGACCACCCCCAGCAGTAAATGAACAGCAGAGCCCTGAGAGCTGATCCGACAGTGGTGTGACAGTGACCGACAGAGCCCGGGAAAGGGTCGTGCTCCCAAAGCAGCTCCCCCTCAGGACCAGCTCCCAGCGCCTCAGGATGTGTCACGCTTTTATTACTTTCTATTATTGACACTTTAAATAAGCGCCCATTCTTCTGGCTACGAAACGGCTATGGCAGCAGAAACTGGGGCTGGAAATGCTTTTGTGTAAAAATGTGCATGGCCAGAAAGGAAAGCCAATTTTCTGGCGTTTCAAGGAATGCTATAGTCAATTGTACTTGAGGAAAACTGCAGATGTATTCCTGATTTTATAGAAGAGGTTATAATTGTGAGAGTGAAGTGGCATGAGGACAAGGAGGCGTATGTGAAACCAAGCTGAATGGATCAGGCAATTGCAGTATTAGAGGTCGTGTAGAAAATGAGAGCTGCTGTTGTAGGGGCTTGTTCCTGTCACATTTAATGTTCATTGAGCAGCTGTCCCGTTCTCATGTTAACCTGCCTTTCATCAAGCACAGGGACAGTTGTGTGTGGATCTGTTACCTCCGAGAGGCTGCCCTTACACCAGGCTGTCACTTTGTCCTCAGCAGTTGCCAGGCTTTGCGGTTCTGCTTCTTTCCTATGAGGTTATTCCATGGTCTAAAATACCCTGTTTTTCAGAAAACTTTCATAAACAATCCCTTTCCTAATCAGCACTTCCCTCGTCTTTGAATTCAGCATCGTGTATTTGGTGATTCTCTGAGTGCATGTACACTTCACGGGCTTTGAGATTTGTAAATCATAATTTAAGCTGGCAACCAACTTTTATTTCTCTTCATCTGTGCAACTTCATGTTTATTAGCATTGTTACGGTAATGTGAGCTCCAAAATGAATTTCTGAAGGAGTTACACCAGACCTGTGTTGTGATTTGTCACTTCCCAGCTCAGGGAAATATTTCTGCATATGGATCAAGCTATGCATTTTACAAACACATAGTTGATTAAAATCAAACTACCCAGCTAGTTCAAGAAATGCCTATATTTTGGTGGCATAATGTCTTGAAGCTTCAGCTTCAGATTTTTTTGTTTGTTTTTCAGTCCTGTATGTTTTTTCTTTTTTCTTCCTTTTTTTTTTTTTTCCCAGATTTTACTGCTCATTTACAGCATATCACTTCATACAGTGATACAAGGGCAATTGTTCCACTACTTTTCTCCCTTCTCTCTTTTACTTGGCTGGATTTCTTCAGATTGTAACCTGGAGTTTCTTCATGACATCTGGGCAGAATCACTCTGCTATACACAGTTTTGGGTGCTGTGATAAGGCATGTGAGCCCTGTGCTATGGGCACTGGTGGAAGCACTGGTGGAAACTCTAGCCAGGTGCAACTTGGCAGAAGCTCTTTGTCTTCCACAGCCTGTCCTGCCTCCTCATCCCTATCTCAGACAGAGGGTGCAATGTTCTCAAGCTTGCTGGGATTGCCACTCACATGATCATTCCTTAACTCATTTCTTTCAAAATGACCCTGCTTATTTTAGGCAATTTAAGGTGTGATTCCATGTCAGGTCATCTAAACACCAGCTTCTCCCACCCTCTCCTTCCATTCCCACCTCTGTGTTCCCATCACTTTTCCTGTTCTGGCACTTTGGTGCATCTCCTATTGCCAACAAGGCTGGTTTTGGCTGTACAGGTGACTGAGGGAGTTGGCTTCAGGACTGAGCACCTGTATTGGGGGACAGTGACAGAGGTAATGCTGTCCCTTCTGTTCCTGCTGTTCTGTCAGGAACTTTCAGAAGACTTGCTGTTCACATTTTTTTCAGTGTTAAAATTTGCACTAATTGTGCCTCTTAATACCAACTCCATCATTTTTTCCTCTATGACATTATCCTGTCACTTACCCATTGAACTAGAAATGTACTGAATTAGCTCTAATTATCAAATTGATAAAGATATATATGATGCTTACAACAATAATATGCCTTTGAGTGTTCCACAAACCCGTGACAGTGCAAATGTCAGTGCAGTCTAATTTTAGCATGACACAGTGAGTCTTCTGTTCATTAGCTTTTGTTCATTCTCTTATATCCTGCTTGATAATAATCCCCTGATTTATTTTGGATGGATTTTTTTAGCTGCTATAGTTGTAGAATCCTTTGTAGAGCTGGAGAATACTTTGTATTCCATTTTAGATGTAAGGCAAATCTTCAGGGGATATGTTCATTGACCATAAGACATTTGGGGTCTTCAGCCAAGAGTTTGCTTTGTAAGTTATTTCCAGCATGACTTGAGACACAGAAGAGAACTGCCTGGAGCTGGGGAGAGAGGCAGGAAGGAAGCTTACATCAAACAAGATTAAATTTGCTTGGGTTTGACTGCTGTGGTTTATGTCAATTTTGGTGGGTTGGTTTGTTTGTTTGCTTTTATTTAATTAGACTGTAGTTGTTTTGTCTGCAATAGTGGGTCTTATACAAAAATTAATGCCATAACCTCCTGGCATTTGGCACTTCATCCATGTTGTTATTGCCAAATCTAAAGCTCATAAAATAATTTTGATGTGTTTTCACTGCCAGCCAAAATGATGGGTAACATGAACTTTATAACATGAACTATTCAATAATTGCAATGGAAAATTTGCTTACTGAATTATAACAACTTTTATTTTTTTTCTTCACACAGTATTTTGTAAAGAAAAGGTTTGCTCCTTCCTCCTTTTCAGCCATCTCAGTACCTTACAGAGGAGGGTAGCATACTTTAAGAGTACATGCTGTGTTTTTGCA